TTTTATTCTCATCACTTGTCTGCTTGATATTGTATTGATAATGTATGGAGAAATTCTGTCTTGGTCACTCATGGAATTTAAAGGGTTAACCAAGCTTTCTTTCCTAATATCTTTGCTTACTGATTTTGTGTTCTTGAGCAGAGAGTTGCAAGGTTTTGTTCCCTGCAGAATCAAGCGGTAGATCTTTTATTTTGTTTAATGCAAAAATTGTCAATCTAGAGCATGAAACTCCCAAAGAATTTTATATTTCATGGTAGGGTGCAATGACTGTAATAAAATGAACCTAATGTTTCTGTGTCATGTGTGTTTTTTTAGGAATCCTGGTCTTTTAATAAGTTTCACAAAATTTGGACATGTAGATTACCGTGGAACTTTTTTTATATCTGACACAAAAGATGATGACATTGCTGGTGTAGTGTTTGGCTATCAGAGTAATAGGTGAGGCACATTGGCAAGGACAAACTTTGACACTTCCAAAGTTGTCCTTTATTACCTATTTTAAATATTATCAGTTAAATATTAGTTCAAGGACTGCTGTTGTGGGATAATTTATAAGTAGTCTCTTCATCGCCTTTTTGATAACATTTGAAGTACCCCAATATTTGACATTCAGTTGATTTTATACAATAAAATTGAGAGTCTGTTGACCTACAATTTTTCTTTCTCTCTTAGGCATTTTTATGTATGCTCTTGGAAGAAAGTGACCCAGCCCTACAATTTTAAAGAAAATTTGACTTATCCAAGATCTGTTGCAAGACAAGGCATAAATCTTATGGTATATGGTCTGAGATACTATCAGATGCATGTGCAATAAAACCAATTTTCATGAACATTGTTTTAGTCCTTACAGGTTGCAATAATCTTGAGGCACTTGGCATTTTTTTTTTTTCAACCATTTATGTGAGATAATTGTGTTTGTCTACAGGTGGTTGACTCAAGTACAGGACCTGGGGAGAATCTTCGTGATGCTTTGTGGGAGACTGGGAACACCATGAATCAAACTCATCTTCTGTGGTATGACAATGGTCCCAAGTGGGCTGCAGGAGTGGCATATCGTTGGAGAATACTGCATGACCCAGACTCTGGAAGGATCCGTGTGCGTTGGTACAGGGTAAGTTTTGAAAAATTTTACAATGAATTGTACATTCTACGCTGATTGTCAGTTCTTAATGCATCAGTCTGAAGTTGTCTGACAGCTGGACAGTACCCATTCTTACCATCAGATACAGAACTGTCATCACCCATAACCAACATGCTTTTCATTTCTGTTTTGCTGTGGTAGGGAGGAAAGCTGTTAGCAGACTCAGGGAACATAATAAACAAATGTTATAATGGTGGCCGCCTGGGGATGTACGTCTTTTCACAGGAAGGAGTACACTATTCAAAGTTATATGCAGGATCACCTAAAGTGAGATTCATTTTATTGATCACATTGATGTCATTTTGTTTGAGCAATGTTAAACCAAACCAAAGTAGTCATAAAGGAAACTCAGATAAAAAGAAAATATGAATTAGAGCTAATGAAAAAACTAGGGAACTGAGTCAAACACGAGAAAATGAAAGTGGCCAAGATACAGCAGGGTTTAGTTTTGCAGCTGATTGCTTGGAAGGGTGGTGCTAGTCTCTCTGACAAAGAACTATGACCTCTCCCCCTTTTTTTGTCAACAGATTAGTGACTTTTCCATAAGCTTCAATGGTAGTGGTGGTAATGTAGACTTAGGAGGGATCAGTGATCTACTAGGAGGCTCTGGAAGCATCACTGTGGCTGCTTGGATATGGATACTGGGTCCAAAGTGAGTACCCCAAAAGATTTCTTTTAACAATACCTTGTAAAAAGTGATTTCCTTGAGAAAGATATTTTGCGTTGAGACTATTTTTAAACTTGTTAATATATAGGAACTTGAGAATCCTCTGGTATCACAATGTGGTTTGTTAAATTGAACTTGGAGCTCAAGGTCATTTTCAAAAGAAAACTTTGAATAAGTTATCTTCTGGTGGATTTCTGGTGGCATAAATACCTGGAAAGATTTTTTTCAGTTTGCATTATTATTTTTATTTGACTATGGTCAAAAGTTGAGCATTAAACTATTAGAGTCTTTCATCTCTTTCAGTGGAAAGGTGATTTGTGATCTGCCTCCAATCAACTTTGGTTCCATGCACTCTGATTTGGGGTTTTTCACACAGTCATCAGATGATGAGAGGGATTGGACACTAAAAAAAGGGAAAACTCCAACTTCAAACACTGGTCCATCTGCTGACCACACCACAGGCTCAGGGTATTACGCTTTTTTGGAGACATCAGGGATAACAATTGGCAGTAGGGTTAGTAAAATTGAAAGGACAGAGTCAAACTCTCCAATTAATTTTCCCTTACAATTATAGTAATTTACTAATAATGTTGTCAAACAGTGAGATGATAAGAATGAAGGAAAAGTTATGGCCACTGAAAGATATCTAGCAGCCTTCTGTAACTTGCAGCATTTTCAGGGTACTTCTCTTACTCTTGGATACAATGTATTTGTCCCTCCTTGACAGAAAACATTTGTCTAATCTTTATTTTTAACCACATCCTCAATAAAACGAAAGCTCATTTTAAAAGCTTTTTATTACTTTTTAGAATTTATTAATACTGCAGAACCTAGCTCCTGTTTTGATTTTTCTGCCTATTTTGTATGTGGGTTCATGTGAATGGCACATTCCATTTTTTAGACCCTGTCACTTCCAATAAAAATTTACTCTTCAGTGACAAGTTGTTTCCAGGTAGTGCCATGTCTAGAATCCATCATTCAAGGGGTTAATTTTTGTAAGAAGGATTTCTCACAAAAAAAACCCAACAACAACACACATACCCCTATAAATAAAAGTGTTACTGAAAATAAATGAGGAATACATGTATATTACAGGCTTAGTTAGTTGACTCACCAATGGGTGGACTAATGAACCAGACTGCTCTTAATTAAGCTTACTAACTGTGAGTTAGCAATCCCCAACTCCAATGAAATGGCAATTTATCTAAGCTGTTATTTTAAGAAATGTTCTGTTAACCCTATAACTCCCATGAGTGACCAAGACAGAATTTCTCCTTACAATATCATAACAATATCAACCAGATAAGTGATAAGAATAAAGAAAAATATTAATTAAGGAACTATTAGTTGATCCAATGTTAAATTCTCCATACTAATGTCACAAGAACTATATGGCAGACAGTAAGGAGAATTACTAATGAGATCTTGGGAGTTAAAGGGTTAAGACCAACCTTAAACTTATTTAAAAAGTTGTATTTTGTGTAACTACACAACTATGTATCCTATCTCACAGACCAATGCCACTTGTATTGCACCCATACCTCTGTCACTGCATGACTTATGAACAACCCTATCTGGGTTCCCTCTCTATGGGGTAGGAAGGGGGTGTGTTGTACTTGTATTAATGCAATATCACAAGAAAATTTTGGTTTTTTTTTAGGCCTCTTTCGAAACCCCTTGGTTTGCTGCAGGTGAAGGGTGTAACATGACTTTTTTCTATCATATGAATGATCGTTCTAACAAGACGGAAATGGGGAGCCTAGCTGTGGAGGTTAAAACAGTAGATCAGACTTGGTCCATGGTATTTAGGAAGGCAGGAGATCAAGGCGACATTTGGCATCAAGGAACCATAGATCTTTCAGTAAGGCACCTCTCTCTCCATCATTGTATTTTTTTTTTTAACAATTTGCCAAAACGTTTCTAGAAATTTTGAGCAATACCAATTCAAAATGATTTTCTTCAGTGGGTGATATCTCCACAAGGAAACAGCCATGCCCATTGATTTGTAAAATTGGAAATTATTTTTGACCCAAACAAGGTCTAAAATTATAGAAAAAAAAAACTGCTACCTAGGAACTTATACCTGGAAAAGTGTGGAGACTTAACATTAAATTTTGAAAGAATGGGAAGAAGTCTGAAGTTTTTCTTCAAGCTGCAGCAATTGCTTAGTTTCTGTGCAAAATCTTGCTGAATTTTAGTTGGTTTACAAATATGTGTACATACCCTGAAAAGTAAATAGTAATTTGGTGTCTTGATTGACAGAAAAAATTATGCTGAACATATGGATACAGGTAACTTGAGAGCTTTCTTCATCCTGAACATAAATGAGATATGAAAAGTCAGGTCACTAAGATCTGTGGCTGTTAGGTCAATATAACTTGTGCATTCATTTGCAATCCCTTCTGGAATATCACAGTCTTTGAGTTTAATACCAAGCACCATCTTTCCCTCGATAGCATCCAAGATTTCTTGACAGAACGGCTCTTGAAAAAGCTCTGGTGTGAAAACAACTATCATGCGAGAAGTTTTTCTTGACATCTGCCTGTTTGTAGTGATGTTATATCTGTTTGCCTCCATCATTCCAATTATCCATCTTTTTACCCACAGTCTGTCCTTTTTACTGTGGTATATGTGAACTTGAGAATCCTCTGGTACTAAAGTATGAAAAAAAATTTATATTTAAAGGCATGCCAATTTAATATCTTGTTTTGTGTGCTTTCTGCAATCTTTTTTCATACTTTAAATAATCATGTAGTTGTCTATGGTTTGCTATGTTGCCATGATATGATGTAGCAGTGTTTGATTTTGACAACTCTAAATTGTTATACATGGTGTCACTCTCTGCATAAATCTCTTGAATTGTGTAAACTCAAAAAATATTTTCATTTCATAAGTTTGGTCTTGCAACAGGCTATTAGTTTAAAATTAAACATTATGCAGCCTACAAGATTTTTGCTGTGTGTCATAATACAATCTTGGACAAAATAGAACGGAGCATAAAATGAACTAACATATTTCTGGATCAATGGGTGGCTTAGATGTCTTCATCCTCAGTGGATATCTTGCACTGCTGCTGGGTGTCCAACGGCGCAAATCTGGCTGCCACTCATTCATGCCATTCAGTGAGAATACACCATTGTCCAATAACCACTGCCGATGTGCAGTTCTATACCTTACAGCTTGATTATCTCCTTGAGTTGAAAATTCATCAAATTCTGGAAGAAAAAGCATTTCCAAATTTAAATGATAGTTCCTTTTGTCGTGCTGATTAGGGATATGAAACAAACTTTGGGGCACACGAATCACTTCTAATTTAAAGAGAAAATGTTTGACAGGTCATTAATATGATTAATAATCAACATTTTACAGTGTAACACATGATTGATATCATTACCTACACATTCTTTAGGATATCCTCTTGAGGCAGGGCTTCTATTGGCCAGTTTTCTCTGCTTGCGTTGTTTCTCACTATACTGGCTGTCATAGTTTGATGTACTTGTGCATGTATTGCTGCGCTCGGTTAAGTTTTCTTTGGCTGAGACATCCTTACTCGTGTATTTTTGTGGGCTTTCAGAGGACATGATAAAGCTGGCAAAGAAAGAATGATTAAATTAATTATGTTTTCATTCCCTTTTTTTTGTAAATAATAATACTATTGTCTTAATTCACACATTTTTTGATACTGATAGTTCAAAGAATTAAATCTGATATGATGCATGTTGGGTATTCCTTTTATTTGGTTGGCTCAATATCTTTCAGTTGAATTTTTTTACATAGTACCAAAAGAAAAGTTGGTGTTTTTCTTGTCATGAAATAATGAATAAATCAACCCTCCAAAGATATCTTACAATACAAGCTGGTTTCTTCTGATATGTAGGCTAAATTATGGTTGTGAAGAAAACCTGTAGCAGTATAATATATTGACATAAAATAATTTTTATTATATGCCCTCTATTACCCAATGCAAGTTAACAGTGAAATAATGTTTAGTTATTATTTCTAGATCTCAGAGTATTATCTGAAAATTGTTTGAAGATTTGTGAAACTTTTGACACATTTCCCCACATTTTTACTCACTATATGGATAAATTTTCACTTTAGCTTTGTTATCTACTGCTAATGCATAAAAATATCTTAAAACTTGTCTGCGATAGGTATTAAAAATATTTCTTCAAAATATTTTGTAAATTATTTTACTTACCTTGAACTTCAGGGGAACTTGATAAACTGTTGTGAGATTTTATCTCCATGGAAATTCATTGTATTTTTAGTATATAATTATTCAAAATTGCAATTCCAACAATTCCATATTATCTTATTGGTTGAACATATTTTGGACTTCTTAATTATTTCCCTTTGTTGTTTTGATCTGAAAATATTTTCTCACAACTTTTCTGTGATTACTGATAATTTTGCTGTTGAGAGAATTTTAAAATATAGTAGTTTTGCATTCATAGTGAAAAGCAGGTGACAAGATTGTTTTATGTTCTGGTCATAAAATATTCATTATGTTAAAGCTTTACATCTGTGCCTAGGGTTTGAATAATTAATTTTTGTGTAAACTAGTATGTAATCCGAACTTCGGTCAACTTTAAAATGTATTTTTACCTTTATCACAATATTTCACATATATGACTTTTTCTGTGTTTAATTAATCTATATCATTTTTTTTTTCATTCTTGCCACAGTCATGTGAAATTAGAGAAGAGTTAAGATTAGATCCCTAACTACAGATGATTATGTTCACCCAGGATGGTCATTATGTTAAATACAAGAATACATAAAATCTTTAAGACTTATGTCAGACATTTTAGAACTTTCTTCTTGTTTTAACAAATATTTGGCATTAATTTGAAAATTACAATTTTTTTTTCAATTTAATATCTAATTTTTTTGAAAAAGTTTTAGTTTTATGTTTTGAATTGGGTTGGGCAAAATATAATTTTGTCAAATTCCTTTTTTCCCTAACAGTTATGTTATGAAAAAACCCTGACCAAGTGAAAATCTAATCATCCTATTATTGTTGTTGGAACTTTTCTCTTAATGCTGTGTTTTTGTCTTAATCAGGCTTACGAAGGACTTGTGGCTGTGCGATTTACTGCAGCCAAAGGAAAATCTTACAGGAGTGATATTGCCTTAGATGATATTGTGTTTAGGTAACCCAATTATCCATGGACTATAAAATTAATTGAATTGTCATTTAACTCCACCCCTGTGATTCTCAATGCAATACTAATGTACAATTGTTATATTCATCCCTTTTCTTTTTCTTGTTTTAGTGCAAAATGTGGCTCTGCAAAGGCCTGTATTAATAATTCAGATACAAATCCCATCTTTGGTTCAAAAAAGGGAAGGTTAGGTATGAGCATGTAAAACTTATTACTGTACTTGGTGTGCGAAAAAATTTTTTCTTTTCCTTTTTTTTTTAATTTTGTGAAGATGAGGTTGGGATTATGGTTGGCTTCCCACAATCAGCTAGTTGCAAGTTCCACTGTCCTACAATTTACAATCTGACCTCATAATACTTAAATATCTTACTTGTATAGGAGTACAATTGTCAGTGGGCAACACTGGCATGCTGGGTAACATATCCTTTGCATACAACACCTGGACACATGTGGCTTTTCAGTACAACAATCAAACTAAACAGCAGGTGAGGGTTTTTTTGTTTTTTTTTTTCAGTCTGGTGATGAAGCAGCAATACATGCAATTATCCTCTTTGGTTACTGATTGTTTGCCAAGTGGTCAGAGATAACCCATCCTTATTAAAGCATCAAATTAAAGCAACCGAACAAAAAAATTAAGAGTCTAGTCTAAGCCAAGTAAAACTGTTGGTGCCTTTTGTTTGAGAAACTGGAATAAGAAAAAAACTGAATTTCAAAAAAATTAAGTTAGTGAGAACACATAACAATAGAACAGTTAATAGTCAAGAATTATCATTTTTTGGAAACTTCTGTTTGTGAATGAACAAAAAACTGTGAATTGTATTTCCCTGTGCTTGGAATGGAAGGTTCAGTATTGCAATATTAAATATTACAATATATAACATTACAACAATTTAATATTGTCCTGATTTACTCTGATTTTTTCCTTCAGACTCTTTATATGAATGGCAGAGTGGCTCAACAAGAAAGCAATGTGTCATCCCTTTTGGTGTCAACAAACCTCCTCTTGGGACAGAATGGCCTCAATCATACAACAGGGCAGATGGATGAGGTAGTGAAATGGCGATAGTTTTTTGGGACATCTTTCTCTGTTTCCAAACAGACTGAAGGGCTTGGTTGAAAGCTGTGCAAAGTGGAAAAACTGCTTCTTTTTATCTTAAAGGCCAATTGCCTATGACTTTCAAATTATTGGACAAACATTTCAAAATTTAATTTTTATTGCAACTTTTGGACCAAAACTAAACTGAGATTTCTACAAAATAGGTATGGGTCATCCACCATGGCGAAATGTAGTGAGTGCAAAGTGTATAAATTTGCTTTTTTCACATACACAAATTCTCTCATTTTGAAGGTCCAGATTTGGAACACTGCGGTCAATGTATCAACTATTTATGACAAGTACTTGAGAGGCACTGAAGAAGGACTGGTTAGATATTTCAAGTCAGTTGGAAATGTTTTGATCTCAATAGATTACTTTTAATTAACTTAAATATCATAGTAGAAAACCTTAGCTTTTTAATAGATTAAGTTCAACTTCTCTTAGTTACATAATTAAAACACTGAAGTAGATTTCACACAATTAAATTTTGTTAGGCCAACTCCAAATGAAATGTTGTTATTGGTTTGTTTTATTTGCTAGGGCTCCATAACATTCTTAGAAACATTTAATAAGATATTTTCAAGATTGGATTTTGTGTTTCATCTTTTTAACAAACTTCTCTATAATACTCTTTCATCCAGGTGTAACGAAGGGGAAGGGAAGCTATTAAAAGACAGTTCTTCATCAAAGAGGCATGTTATTCTTCAGGAAACAAACTGGCTTTCCTCATCTTTGGAGCTTAACAAGAACTAGATGCAGCCACCCTGAGACATGTTTGACACAGGACAATTTCATAAGTTACAAGAACCTAAGGCAGAACTAGAGTTCAGGATTGTACCTTTTTTCAGAAACAAATTGCAATGACTTTTCAGGAATTTTCCACGACTCAGATTGATTTTTCCAAGGCTCCAAATTTCACCTCACACCCAAGATTTCAAAATCAATTCTCCTTGTTCTTATGACGGTAATTCTTAAAACTTTAGAATTAACATTTTAAGAAGATTCTAGGACTGTCCAGGACCTATACTCTTTTTCTAGGACCTTTCAGTCCTGGAAATTGTAAAAATAAAATTCTAGGACTTTTCTGTTTTTAAAGGACCAGTATGAACCCTGAGAGTTGCTTAATATAAGCTAGAATCACCCCTAAACTGGTTTCTTCAATGTTAGAATTTAAGAAGGACTTCTAAAAAATGCACCCACTACAAGATATTTTTGACATATGACAATTCCATAACTTACAAGGACCTTAGGCAGGACTCAACTAGCTTGAAATTATTAAAAATCCCATGATTCAAGATAATTTGCAAAGTAGCCCCAAGTTTCACTCATTGTAAACACTTCTGTAAAAAAATAATGCAACATAGATACATACATTTAAGAAGCGAGTCTGAGTGAAAGAAGTCATGACACAAGTACACAATATTAAATAAAGTAGACTTAATAGGATTCTCTGCCCACAGTGGGGGCCACTATTTGTAACTTGGCCTAGCCTATGAGCACTTTGGCTCATTATTAGCATCTAGGGATAGGCTTTTCTTTGCCTGCAGGAAATAAGTTGACTTTGCGCATCATGAGCTAGTGAGATGTCTGTAAGGGGGCTAGCACTTTAATTAGTGCTAAGTGTCTACCCCAGTCATCTCAAATCTTCCTGCAGGCCAGAGGGACATGTCCTGCAGCACTTATAAAGATGAGAGCCTTCTTGCATGCTGAAGTAAAGTTTGTCTGAACCACTTGTATTGTATTCACAATGGATATCATTCGTACACATTGCCTTAGTGAAGAGCAGCTTTGGTGCTGTAGACTATACACACAACAAGCACCAATACCATAAATACAAAATATCATGAAACTGGTACCAAAGATTGAAATAAATAGACACAGAAATACTTTTCTGCATTTCCATGTTTTAAAGTTGGTCTCCTGTATAGCACCAGCCTTAAAAGTATTGTAAAATAAATCTACTGTGTTCAAGGGAAGGTACAGTGAAGGAACTAGCAAACCAATAAACAAAGAGAGCAGTGGAAAACAATATAGTTTTTATTACTATACACAAAACACCTGCCTGGTTCTCAAACTTGTTGCATGTATATCTTTACCTCTTATCTCAACAGCCTGAGTCAGTTTCTTATCCTTACATTCACATTCACAATCTTTCACCCTGAACACCTTGATTACAAAATAAGTGCTCAATTTCTGCTTTTATCTTTTAAAGAAATCTCTCAGGACAAATGTCAAGTTTAGCTGATACTTTGCTGATAGTCCACTGTACAAAACAATTCCTAAATGTTCAGTCTAGAATTTTACGCACTTTCCTCCTTAGGTGGCCATTTTCCAGCTTTTATCAGCTTTTCTTTCTGCCTCTTGATCTTTTGAACCCTTGTGTACTACGAAGAACAAATGGAACATACCAACTTACATCTCAGGGATTTTACAAGGCCCCTTTCCCACTCTTGCAGGTATTTCAAGAATTTTTGGGAGGCAGACATTGAATAGTCAGTAATTCAATAAACGAGAAGTCATTGAAAACTTTTCTTGCTCTAAAAATATGAGTTAGTATGGATTAATATATTAAATAGGTACTAGGGGAATAGCATCAAATACTAACAATGAATACGACAGAGACAGCACTTGATTCTCAAAAATGTGCTCTTAGGGTACATATCACTATTGTGATGGGTATCTAGTACGGGGGGTGGGAGTTGGCTACCTTGATCACACAGTCTAGGAAATAATAAAGTTTTATCGAGCTATGAACAATTTGCACAATAAATTTCCACACCTTGTCTACCTTGGGTTGTGCTAGTGGTATAATCGCAGGAGACCAAGGGAACCACAAAATATGAAATATAGGTGCTTGGAAATAACTATCGTCCCTTACATTGCATTAAACGTTTTCAAAGTCACTTAAAGAAACAAAAAGATGAACGAAAAGCGTACCAGTTTCTTGTGATGTAGACACTCCATAAAGTCTTCCCTGTATTCTTTGCAGAGTGCCCACTGCTCATTACGGCCATTCTTCACTACACAGGCAAAGAAGTCATCCCAAAATGGAGCACATCGCGGTCTGTTTCCATCCAATCCCGGTCCAAACATCCTCCCAAGAGAACTGGAGAAAAGAACACCCGAAAATAACTAATCTTTTTAAACAGATAAAAGCAGTAAATTGAAAAGAGAACACAAACATACCAATATTTTGAAAATTTTGTATCAGTGCAGTTTGCTCAAATGACAAAATGAAGGTTGAATATCCGGGGATTCTTGGAGCGTATATTCGCTGAATTGTTGCACGCGGGCGCTTACAAACGAGGCTGTCGGTGCACGCTTTGTCGCATGCTTTCTGTTTTCCAAATATGGGTTCTTGCGTCCGTGTTGAAATTCCCGCGAACAAAAGAGGCCAATCACAGTAAGAAAATCTCTCAAAACTTCTTTTGTGATTGGTTACTTTTATCGCGGCGCGCAAATTGAACTTCAGCGTCGCGTCCATCGGCGATCATTCCTTCCTCAGCCTTTTTGCACATTGCATCCTTTAGCGCTTTATACTCCCTGCTGTATTTCTTAGAATCTTAGTTGTAATTCATCATGCTTGGTGTAGACAATCATATCGTGAGTAGCCACAGCATCAACAAGCTCGCTAAAACTCTTGAAGATGTAGATATTAACGAGAAGGAAGACAGAAGCAACGAAAAGAACAACGAGGTGAGTTCACAGTTAATAACGAATTATTCGATTTTGGCGGGAGAAAAAATCTGAGTGCCTATTCCCTGTTCATTTACTCCTAAGGCCTTAAATATCGACAAACCATTGAAAAACGAAAGTAGTATTTCACTTTCTTTTCGGTCGAAATTTAATTTCTGGTCTCTTACAAGTTTTTTAACGAAAGAAGCGCTTACTTTAAAAGTATGCCTGCACGGGGCCACAGAGCGACAGTATGGTTTGCTTGAGAGGTATTTATGTTACTTAAGCACGTTTGAATACGATGTAGTTACGGATTTGCCTGTGTTTTTTCGTTTTTTTTTTAACCAGAAGTGCTGTAGAAAACTCGTGCAGGGACCTAATGTAAATTTTATAAGCCCGCGCTGAATGACTAATAACGGTATTTGGCGGTTAAATGTAGAACTCAAATTGAGAAATGAAAGTTCAAGCCGCATTAAAAGCTAATTTCAACAGCATTTTTGTCAAAGCTCTTGGAATATTTAAAAAATTTTAAGAATTGTGAAAATTTTCTTATTTTCCGTCAGACTCGCGGACCGGTGAAGCCAGTTTACAAATCTCCTTCAAAATTTGATAACGAAGATGAGCCGCTCCTACGTGAAAATCCGCGAAGATTTGTCCTTCTTCCTATTCAGTATAAAGATATTTGGGAAATGTACAAAAAGGCTGAAGGTAAGGAAATCAAACCCTACCCTTAGAAGCTACCATCTTTGTACGAGTGACCTGGCCGGTATATTACATATGCTGCCAGGAAAGTTACATTACCTATATATTATGCAAGCTATTTGGTGCCCGGTATGTTATATAATCTCAAAAGGTAATTAGCCAGTCCCAGATGACCAGGAAATTTTAATGGTTTTTTTCTAAAGACTGGTATGAAAGGAGGAAATTTGTAGACGTCATTATAAGAATAAATCGTGTTCCATAGGTATTATATTTCAAACAATTTTTTTTTCTCATTATAGCATCCATCTGGGTAGCGGAAGAAGTTGATCTCTCCAAAGACAAAGATGACTGGGCTAACCTTTCGGTGAGTTCAAATCTGTCTTTCTATCTGCATGATACATAAACTGGCTGATAATTTACTTCTTCTGATTGCCTACCTGCTTTCAGCTTAAATGTTATTACATTCTTTTGTTAATTTTTCTTTTATTCACAGGATGATGAAAGGTATTTTATTTCCCATGTTCTTGCCTTCTTTGCTGCTAGTGACGGCATTGTAAATGAAAACCTGGTTGAGTGTTTTAGCCAGGAAGTGCAAGTTCCTGAGGCAAGATGCTTCTATGGCTTCCAAATTGCAATTGAGGTAGGTTTGTATTTGCAACTAATATTCTAAGTGCCGTTTTTTTCCCAGGATGGTATAACAGAATCAGCAGTAAAATGTAACAATAACAACCAAGCTGTAGTGTGTCTTCTATACAAAAAAAACCTTGACATTTTCAAGTTGACAAAAATTTTTATTTTGAAAAGAATGAGGAAAAAAGAACTTTATCAATAAGTTTGATAACTCGTAAACAACTTACTCCAAAGTTAAATTAATCACTTTTTCCCCTTTTAAGAATATTCACTCTGAGATGTACAGTCTGTTGATTGACACCTACATTGAGGACCCTGATGAAAAGTAAGTGAAAAAACTACATGATCTTTCTTTACTTTGTTTGGAGACAAAATTCAAAATGTTTGCTCAATTGATATTACATTTATGTTAATTAAAATAAAATCACATTGATGTAGTCATTAAATCAGTGTTTGTTTTGTAGGGAAAATCTTTTTAATGCTATTGAGACAATGCCTTGCGTCAAAAGAAAAGCTCAGTGGGCTTTGAACTGGATCAATCCTGAGAGAGTAAGATTTCATTTTGTAGACTTGAACTTTTTTCTTTTCCATTCCTTTTATTAGCACTCGTATTAAATTATTGTAAAACATTTTGATGAGACAAAAATGTCCAAACACTCGCCTTATTTTTTTTGTTTTTTTGTGACAGGCTTCTTATGGTGAGAGGGTAGTTGCCTTTGCTGCTGTGGAAGGAATCTTTTTTTCTGGTTCTTTTGCTGCCATTTTCTGGCTAAAAAAGAGGTAAGTGATGTCCAATTAACTATCAAACCTCTGTTTTTTTGTTTTGTTTTGTTTTCTTTGGGATTTTAAATTGAATTTCAGGTGAAAGAAGTTGCTAATCTATTTCTGTTTCAAATTTGCATCAAAAGGGGTAAGATGCCTGGACTTACATTCTCAAATGAGCTCATCAGTCGTGATGAGGTAAGTTACTTAAGGAAGGTGAATATCTTTAAATCACTGCTCAAAAAATATTTGTCCTGTTTCAAATCCTGACAAAAAAATTAAACTTCTTTCCAACAATTAAGGACTAACCTTAAGAACTAAATGAAGAGAAGACTATGAAACTTTTTTGACACTATTTTCTTCCAAAAGATATATAACTCTTTGAGTGACCAGCAATTTCTTTTTACAATATCACCCCAAATCTCAAATTAATGTCACAAGAATACAGGAAATGATCAACTTAAGGAACTCTTGGTAGTTACGCAAATTTTCTTTGTCAGCACATTAGCAAATGTATAGTGGACAGTATAAGCATAGTGATGTTAATACAAACACTTTCTTATTCCAGGGTCTTCACTGTGATTTTGCTTGTTTGATGTTCTCCTACCTGAAAAACAAGCCCTCACAAGAAACCATTGTTGGAATTATCAAGGATGCTGTTGAAATTGAACAAGAATTTCTAACAGAGGCCCTTCCAGTGAGACTCATAGGCATGAACCACACCCTTATGAAGCAGTACATTGAATTTGTTGCTGACAGACTTTTGGTCGCTCTCCATTGCCCCAAGGTATGGACTAAGACAGTTTCTCCTTACAATGTCAATATAATATCTGATTACAGACTGAATTGGATGACAAAAGTCTTGTTATCAACTTATGTAAACTATCATTACATTTAAGAAAAAAAAAACTGGACATCAGTGAAACATTTCCATCAAAAAAATTAACAATTATTCAGCAAAATGAACAACAACAGCACTTGACATGTACTGACCTTGTGCAGGCATGACATGTCAACTGTCCAATAACAAGTATGGTGTGTACACTGTCCTATGTGTTCTAATTGAGCTGGTGATAAATTGATCCTACCAAATTCCTAGAATTATATGGCAGACAGAAACACAACTAACTAATGAATGGAAGGTTAAAGAAATGTAAAATTGTTGGTTTGTGTTTTTTTTTTTTTCCTTAACCATCCAAACATTTTATAGCTTTTAAGGGCTGTTGCCAAAAGGTTTAAAACCAACTTAGAATCTTGTAACTCTTTCTTAACAGGTTTTTAATGCAAAAAATCCATTTGACTTCATGGAAAACATTTCCTTGGAAGGAAAGACAAACTTCTTTGAGAAAAGAGTTGCAGAATATCAGCGTGCAGGAGTTATGAAGAAAAAGTCTGAGGATTCCCACAAATTCACCACAGATGAGGAATTTTAGACAATTTTTTAGAGCTGCGGGAAGGAAACATTTTTTTAACATTTAGAACAAACTATTTTAAAATTACATGTACATTCTTGCATAAAACTGTAAATATCACCTACATCTGGAAAGGTTTTGCAAATTATTTTTTTGTAATTAGCAACTTATTAGTTCAAAGTCTTTTGTGTACAAAGTTTAAACCTTTTCACTCAGACTGTTGACATTAGCTTCACCTCTTTTGAGATTTTGTATGTATTTTAATATGCCTTTTTATTAAAAGAAGTTTTGAGAATTTTTTTTCAAATTGTGTTTTATACAAGGACTGTAGTTCTCTGGGTATTTGGTAAAAAAATCTGCCACTGGCAGTGAGTCCTAAAATGTTCATTTTCAGATCTGGAAAACAGTTGGATAGATATTGAAAAGATTGAGGAAAACTTGTAACTCAGATTAAAATAAACCATATTTCTTTACCCTACCCCTCCTCTCTCACTTTTCTTAAAAGGTAGGGAATGAAGAATTGATCTGCTATTAGAAGGAAAAAAGTTGAAAACATTTTTCAATAAAGAGACTTGCACAAAAAGCTCCTTGGAATTTTTTTCTTTTAGTCAGTTTCTTTTTTTTCTCTATGCATCTCTATTATGGACATAACCTTACTAACTGAAAACATCAAAGAAAAATCCTTCTGTATTGTGGTCACCAACAAAACTCATACAACATGAAAGCCATAACAAGGACAGAATGATGACTTTATCTTCAGAGCTAACATGCTGTATAAGACCATAGTTGGCCTGGCTCTGTCCTACATAACTGATCTTATCCAGCAATGATTTTCACTTGAAACATTCATTACGTAAGTCTTGCTACACTTGGCAGTCACTCTTTTAACATGGCTGCCCAAAAAGTTTGGAACTTAATTCAACATACGTCGAAAGAGTCACTACTGTTGACAGTTTTAAATGTTTGACCCATTGCTTTGAATAATTGTGTTCCAGATGCCTCTAAAATTTCAACTGGTATTTTAATTCTTATTGTATTTGTAATTTTTAAGCCATTTTAGTTGATACATGATTCTAGTACTAGATTTTATACCATATGATTCTCGTAATTTTTTAAAGTGATGTTAGTGTTTATTGTATTTTATCCTCTAATTTTATTTGTTTTATGTTTTTTGCAAAGCACATGTGATCAGTATGTCATGTAGCATGCTTTATATAAGTTTGTAAACTATTATTATTTTTGTTATTATTATTTCTAGTATATGAAAATCACCACAATAGTTTCTGTATTTCCTTGATGATAAAAAGCTACTGTAAACATCAAAAACATAAAATTCCTCCACTAAAGCATAAACTTGGCTGGCTGTTCATAATCATTCATCTAGAAGCAATAAATAGTGTTTTTCAGTGGTAACTGTTAAAATATTTAATTCAAGACTGGGAAATATTTGCATGCATAAATTTTAGATTTCTCTCTCAGTGTTCAGTGAGGGAAAATTTTTCTTATTAATATCTTATAAATTCGAGTCAATTCAGTATTTGCGTGTTTGCGATGTAATCATGGATACTCTATGCTAATGATCCGATCTCAGCTCCTTTTGTCTGTTTACTCCTGATTTATATATAAACGTTCGGACACTGGGTACTAGTTTACGTATGTCGCCATTTTGTTTCGTAACGTGTAATGGCTTCTTAACGCTAACATTTTCGGAGTTTAGTTCAATTTTCTGGGATGTCTGCTCCTCCAAAACCTTGGGAAGGAGTAGGAACAAATGCCAGGTCAAGTTCTGTTGCGTTTGATTCGCCATCTCGACCTCCGATAGGGGCATCTGGTCCAAGACCGAGTGCTCTGCGAAGTTCGTTCAATCCAAGCAAAATGGATTCTTCCACAAGCAATGGTACTTCTGTGGCAAAAGTACCTCCTTTACCGCCACGACCTCAAACACGGAGGTCCACTAGTAGTATGATGTATGGAGGGTCGAGATATGGTAATTTCTTTGTTTGCTTTGTTTTGTTTTTTTATTTTTCACATAGCAAATTATTACAGGTTGTGCTCTTCGGTGAGGTGCCTTTTGTAGCTTTCTTCTAAAAATATTTAACAGCTGGAAACTGTTGAATTTACAACCTTTATTCCGCTCACACAAAAACCGTTACAACATAGGAAAGAGAACAAAATACATATATATTTGCTAATTAAAAAAAAAAAGAGCTTGAATAACAAAAGGATAAATTAAATTAATAATTCCTGTGAAACAAAATTAAATTTAAATAACAACGGTCAAATATGCATAATAACAACAGAAACCTTAGAATTCTAAAAAGGAGAGCCTCTAGGCTCCCTTTATTCTTTTAAGAGCACAGCTTTGATTAAAATGTATGAATTGAATGTCATTTAGTGTACAATCAG